CGCTGTTGTTGGAAAATAGAAGGCTTTACGGGAAGCTCCAAACCCATTCTTTCTCTGGGAGATGACCATCTCTTCCCAAAGTAATTTGGATGCTATGGAAGTAAATGGCGAGTTCTGTGTGCTGTTGTAGTGCGGAAGAAGGCTGTAGGTTTCACAGTCAGAATTCACAGCCAGAAAAGTCTTTTCTGTGCTGTTTCTACTGCTTAGACCATCAGTCAGAGAGATTAGGGCAGGAGGAGTCTGAAAATGCCTAATCTTCTGGAACAGGTGGAATCTTCAATTGCTACATATGATGTGATGTTGGAAATCCCCAGTGCCGGTTTGTCAGAGAAAAACCTTTTGGTGTTGTGATTTTGTAGATCTTCAAGAGGAAGAATAACAGCTTTATCTTTGTGTTAGGAGGGGCAGGCTAGACAGAAGTCTTTTCCAGTTAAAGTAGTGTTAAACTCAGCACTCCAAAACCAAACTATTGCTACAGGCTTAAAAATGTATTTTTAATTCAGAGTCACTTTGCTAGGATAATCCAATCTGCTTTTCTAATTTAAATTAATATTTCTGAGGAATTCTGTTTTGTAATAATCTAACATTGAAAGGGAGCACTGGAAATTGAGAAACTTCTTTTTGAAAGTGTGTAAGGGAAGACACTGGACTTATTCAGTCACTTCAGTACCTTTAAGACTAGCAGTGCTATTTTATTGTCTGTTACAGTATTTTCTGGAAAATAAGGGAAATAATGAACTATGCTGCATGTGCTAAGGGCAAGGGCAGGAAGAGTTAATGGTGAATGGTTATATATGTAGCAGTAAAAATATATAGATGTGTTATAATATACCCACATTTTGGCAACTTTACTTGAGAAAAATGATCATGTGAGAGCGATGTCTTGTTTGTCATTCTGCTATGGGGCTGTTTCATCACCTGTAAGTGCTGACCAAAAGGAAACAGTACTGCAGGGCTGGCGATCACAAGTACTTCTTTCTTTTTCTTTTTCCCCCCACTGTCCCTTTAAATTACAAGGTCCACTTGATGCACGTTTTGAAGCTTGGGCTGCCCTTCCTCCCCCACAGCTACAAGGGTAGGAATGTGGGGCCTGAGTGAGCTGAGATTTTTTTATGCTGTCAGTTAATTGCAGCAGCAAGAAGTTAAACTATCACAAGACTGGGTACGGAGCAAAGACTGTTTTAAGATGAATAGTACTTAATTTAGTAGCAACCATTTTTTAGTTAAATATTTATTAATGGTTTACTTTACTAATCCTCTAGGGTCCTTAGTAAAATAACAAGGATGGATGGCAAAGCTTCCAGCATTATATTGCTACCAGGTTAGTATTAAGCAAGAAAACAAAAAGAAGGCTTTATAGGAGTTCTGAAGGAAGGCGATCATAATGTGATCCTGTGGTTGTCTGATCAACTGGCTGTAAAAAACAAAAACAAACCACCCTCTGTTTGCAAGGGTGGATAGTGATAGGAAATGGGGGGAATGGCCTTAAACTGAGGCAGGGGAGGTTTAGGTTAGAGATTAGGAGGAAGTTTTTCACACAGAGGGTGGTGATGCACTGGAACAGGTTGCCCAAGGAGGTTGTGGATGCCCCATCCCTGGAGGCATTCAAGGCCAGGCTGGATGTGACTCCTGCTGGCTACCCTGCACATAGCAGGGGGGCTGAACTAGATGGTCATTGTAGTCCTTTTCAACCCAGGCCATTCTACAATTCTATGATTCTGTAGCTGCCTGCATGATTGTTCTTACCCTACAGTACAACTTCATCAACTGCATGTGTAACTATACTATGAAATAGGGTATGAAATACGGGCTCCTATCAGACACAGCCCTTACTGAAGTAGCAGATTAAATAGTAGTGTAAATAAGGATGCACTCCTGGCAAGGATGCTGGTTCCCTGCCTCCACCAAGGGGTAGAGAAAGGTGCCTTCTTATAGAGCTGATGTATCATATATCCAGTGCACCCCATGGTGGTTTGGTGGGGATCTGGAAGAGCACCTTCCTGTCTCAAGGAGGGGTGGGCTGACCCTGGAGATCTCTTAATTCTGTAGCTGTTGGTCATGCCTAATTCTGTCAGTGCTGTTGTGCCTTGGCTAGGGTGGGAAGTTGAGCGGCAGAAGTTAGTTTAGATTCCTGTTAAAAAGTGATTGTTATTCTTTTTTAAAAAGCACTTAGGCATCCCTTTGCTTGCTTGCTTTCAGAAGAGTGGCATTGTGCACGTCAGGTGCTTGCTGATATGCTGGCTTCTACACGTCTTTCATTGTGTGCTATTGGAGGCTTTTTAGAAAGAGAGAATTGAATAGTAGAGTTCCAGACTTGCCCTTCTTGCTTTACTTAACCTTGGTCAACCTTGACCTAAAGGCACCATGAGCTCTGTCAATTAGATAGATGAACTTAAATCTAGATGCCTAGTCTTGTAATGAGTAAGCTGAGCAAGACTGCATTTTACAACCAAAGCGTATCTTTCAGTTCCATATTTTCTCGCATCTCTCATTATGGGAATTTTCTAGTGCAATATTTGCATCACAGAAATTTGTTTTCCCTTGGCTAACTTTCTCAAACAGTCATCTATTTTAAAAAGGGGAAGGGAAAACACTGTCACCATTTAAAAATAAACTTATAATTTCTTTAGCAAATAAGGCAGCATTTCTATTTACTAAACCAGGTTAAGAAAGTCTTCACTTAAAAAAGGGTTTCCTTGATTACAGAGCTGTCTCCTCAAAGCCCTGAGTGAAGCCAGGCACTGGGGGATGGGATGGTGAGGAGGCACTTACGTAATTAAAGAGCATTTTGTGTTACTAAGAGCTGAGTTAGAAACACCCTGAATGATGCTACAGTTGTGTGCATGTGCTAGAATGAATGTCCTACATAAGATGCTGAAAGTTGTTACAGATTCCTTATGATCTTGTTTGAAGAACGCCAACGACTTATTTTCACTAATGCTTTGCAGGCTCTGTCAGTATCTTTGTAAATACTTTACAGGAGAATTATTATTTTTTTTTCCTTTCTATGAACAATACTGTTATGAACAATATTTTTGATGCTAAGTGCTCCTTTACTGGGTTGCTTTGCCTTGTCTCTGTTACATGCAACTTGGTCTGACCTGTCAGCAAGGTCCTCTGTTAATGGAGCCTTATCAATTTACACTGCAGTTGGTGAAATCAGTGATACAATCAGTTGAACTGATTTGAATTAGGGGGTAAAATGTAAACTGTTGATTTCCACCTTAGTGGTGTATTTTAGCAATTATTTGTAGAGAAGGAGGATGCAAGAATACCAACAATTTTATGAAAAAAAAACAAACAACAGAACAGTATATTTTCCAAGTAAATGAGTCACTTGGTGCAGTTAATAAGACTTGACTAAAAAAGGTTGAAATGTAATAGCTGCCTCCTATGGTATTCCATCTAGAAGAGAGCAGGACAGCCTTGAGGAGAAGACTTGAGATCGATAGATAATAGCTTGCTCATTGAATGACTTTGTTACTGGTGGATGCTGTCATAAAACCTTGTCCCTGAGCCTACAATTCAATCTCTGCAAAGAATGTAGAAATAAAAAGAAATAATAAGGAAGTTATTGGTTTTCTGTACTCCCTGTGACAAATGGCTCACTGATGGGTATTTCTTCAGGGTGGAATCTGTGAGTGGCAGTAATTTGCTTCTTAACTTTGAAACATATTGCTATAGATCGCTTAGATTGTTCATACCTCAGCTTTTGTTGTCTTCATGCTCTTAAGTGCAAGCTTAAAATAACAGCAGCTCTAAATATTCCATGAAGGAATAGGGAATTAAAAAAAAAAAAAAATTGCCCCTGAAATCCACATCAGAAAGCCAAAGGGTTTGTTTTGGAAAGCACAGCAGTGTGGTTGTTTGGATATGGCTCGCTTCTGTTGGAGAGCTATTTGTTACTTTTGCTTTAAAATACATAAATGTGCAAGTAGGTGTTTATGCATTGTGTGTGCTGAACCTGCTTTCCCTTACTGTGATGGGGGGAGTGGTCAAAAGAATAGAAGAATATAGCTCTCAAGTAAATTTCCACAGCAATTTGTGGCCAGAATGTCTATTTTGGACTTTCAAGAGGGTTAAGCAACAACGATTCATTCATAGCTCCTGAAAGGGCAGCTCAGTCTAAGATGTGAGCAATGCAGAACTTTTCCCCTGCGTGTCTGTAGGAGCACAAGCTTCTGGTATTTCTACTATATCTTCTGGTTTTATGAATCTGTGCAATGAGGTGAAAACTTGACTTGAAAAGCAAACATTTTCCCTGCTGTTTCTCCCAAACTTACCAGTTCCTGAGTGCTTTCCACTGATTGGGCCCTAACTTCTCTCCCTCCCTGTACTATGCATAAATGTAGCATTCTTCTTTTATTAAGCAGTGAAGCCTGGCCTGTGTCAGGAGCTGGAGAATGAGCAGGGCATGAGGGTGTGAGCAGGCAGCTTCTGTGCAGCTTTAAATGACCCAAACCAGACTTTAAGGATATTCAGTAGTCCTTTAGAAGCCAGCAGCAATTTGTGTCAGATTCATCAGTATCAGCCTATCTGCATCCTGCAGAGTGTGCATGCTGGTTTGACTGTGTAATTATGCAAAAGACAGTGGGAGGGGTAAGAAGGAAAAGAACAGGTACCTACGAAGGCTATCTTCTGTCCTGTGAGGCTGATTTCTTTGGGATGCCAGTGGGCAAAGTGAAGCTCCGGCTCTGACACACCTCTGGAAGAACCTGTCTTTCTGCACAGTCTTCAGAGTGAACCTAAAGTGAGCCTTTCTCAGTATTTGTGTTACCGTGCAGAGTAAGTTTGTGTGTTAGATGCAGAGCAGCATTCAACTCCTGTCACTGGGACTCAGTTTGAGAAATCAAATTGCAGTGGTCCCCTGTCAAATTTGTGATGATGGAGAATGGCTGTAATAATAGTGGTTTCCTTCCATAGGTTGCAAGATGTTGCATGAAAGTTCATTTTGATATTGTAACTTGGATTTAAATTTCTTGTTTTCTTTCTTATTTCAGGTCTGCCAGTCATGAAACGAATTCTTCTGTTTTTCATCCTGGCTGCTGTTGTTATGTATCTTATATTGCTTGGAAATCTGTGGAGAAATAACTTCTACTGGTACGGTGACACTTTGTTCACTTATAGTACAGATACCCTCATGGCTTTCTGAGATATGTGGCTGTTGGTAAAGTGTTGCTGAACAGTTGTCTATGAGTAATAGAAAGTATGATTAGTGTGGGCGTATGTGTGCTTCTGTTTTTTTTTTCTGTTACGTGTTCTTTGTTTTTGGTTTTGCTTTTTTGTGGGAACAGTGAGGGAATGAATGTGATTGCTCTGTCCTGTCACCCTTCCTCTCATGTCATTTTTAATCCTAGCAGACAACATTTAGTTAGATTTATGGAGAGTTAAAGTCCTCAGAGATAGGAAGCCACTTTGAGTTCCGTGAAAATAGGTCTTATCTGTGCGCCATGTGTCTGCGCTGTGTGCACTCCTGCCTGGCATGTTTAGCATTAGCTGCTACCATAGATAAATGACATGGGAGTGACCTGCCCCACACACGAGAATGAATATCTGCATATGGAATGAGCACCTTCTTGCAAAACTGAAGCTTACCAAGTCCCGTAGGCAAAATTCTGGAAGGTGAGCCCTTGCTGTCTCCAGGACACACAGGACAGGTGGCCTGGGACCTAAACTTACTGCAGAAGTTGAGTTTCCATTGGAGTTTGCACTGGTGTGACCAGGGCTGTGTTTGTGTTATGAAGACTATCGTGATAGCTGAACACTACTCTTAAAAGCTTACTTGTGTTTATCTCACTTAGAGCATACAGTTGATATGAATGGCTCTCTGTTGTGGTTTCTGTATATAGCAAACCTCAGTGTTACACCATTTCCCATTTTGCAGGAGTAGCTTTTATGGACAAACTTCTTCTGTGAGGGGTCCTTCTTCCAATGAGGCTAGTGGAGTTACCCAGTAAGTTCAGCAGCTGAGTGTTTTTTGTGTCTGGTCTTGTTTTTGTTTTTATGTTGGTTTTGTTTTTTTTTTTTTCCTTCTGTTTTTTGGGCAAGTGGGAGGGAGTGAGTCTAAAATCCATAGCCTCAGTTCAGTTGATCTTTGTATAACTGTGTCCAGGGAGTATTATGAACATAATTGTAGCATGACTGGCAGAAAGGATCCCCAAATCGTTTTGAGTAGGAAGGCACCTTAAAGGTCGTCTAGTCCAACTCCTCTGCAATGAGCAGGGACTTCTACAGCTAGATCAGATTGCTCAAAGGAATTTGCTCATATTTCCCATGTTTGTTTAATATTTATGGCCACTTAACTGTGGCTATGTGTAGAAAGCAGAGAATTGTTGAAAGGATGCTTGTTTACAGCTTCCAAACTTGCGCAACACAGAGTTAAATGTGAGTTAAAATTACAGCACTGAGAGCAATGCATGTGTTTAATTTTAGGAAATCAGAGGTGTAGTTCATTTGTGTGATATGCAAGTGCTTATATAAGCAAATCCTGTGCTGGTAAATTCCTGCAATTAAGTTCATGAGGCTAATGAGAGCCTGCTCTAAAACTTGAAAGAAGGTCTCCGTTACCTCTGAAGTTATCTTGCAAAATGCTGTCTGTGAGGTTGGTGCTGGAAAGCAGTGAGCTGACCAGCTGATCCATTTCACAGGATGCTTTCTCGGTGTCAGTATTCACGTGACAACTTGAGGTTACCGAAAGCAATTAACCTTAACGGTCTGTATGACTTGTGGCTCTAATGTGGTGTTTTCATCTTTCTGTTCCTAATGCAACCCAGACGCAGGCTTTGCTCTCGCTGAACTTTACCCTCCCTTCTGAGCTTCATGTTCTTCTTGAAGAAGCTAAAGTGCTAAGCTGGGAGTGTGTCTAGAAATATAAGTCTTGGCTTTCTAGGCTCGTTATGAGGGAATGACTTATATTCATGTAATTTAATTTTCCTTGAAACACCCTATGTGGTTCCCCTCTCCTCTCTGAGGAGTGTTGCTGCAGCTATCTTGTAGGCTGCAGGGGTGATTCAGCCCAGGTGTGCTTCTTCTTTCCAGGTAGGTCTGAGATCCTGACAACCTCTGCTTATGGCTACTTTAGGTACTGCCTAGCAAGGGAGGCTGTGGGCCCTTGGGGCAGCACTGTGCAATAAAAGCCTTACTAGTGACAATAATCGTATCACAATCAGGAGGACCCACCTTTGTGATACCAGCAAAGGCCAAGTTTTCCCATTTGCACAGTGTTAACTGGGTAATCAGCTTGCTAATTTTGGTCGTCCAAGTTTCCCTACCTTGTTGTCACTACCTATTACTCTTTTTGTTATGTCTTTGAAATTCTTCTCTTCTAGGCTGCCACCTACGGCTGTGGAGAGAAGGAACGCACTGGACACTTGTCTTCTGAAACCAGCATTTGAATCTTTACTGGAGTGAGTACTCTGTGAGGAGTGGAGAGATGGAAAGGTGGTACTGACTTAGGTAGAAATATTTGTAATTTATGTGTTCTGGACTGTTTCACATTTTGATTTTTGTAAGTACATCTTCTGAGTTTGTGTTCTTTTTTTTTCGGGCTGTGGCAACACATTGTTTAGGTTGTCACAGTTCAACATCAGGGTGATACAGCACAAATAACTCAATTTGCTCTTGTATATATTGAATAAATAAATACAATTTCATGTATTGCAGCTAGTAACAGTGAAACTACTTCCTTGATCAAAAGAACAAGCCCTTATTTTTTTCTTCCCTGTTCATGCTTTTCTCGTAGAAGAAACCTTTGCATCCAAGACTAAGACTCAGTTATTTTGCTGATCAGAGCCTTGAATTAAAATTAAGGTTTCTTTTCTAAGCACTTTTCTGACTCCTGATTGCTAAAGAAGTGTTGAAAGTCTCTTCCTTTTATTTTTTTTTCCCCCCAAAGATAAGAGTATGAAATGTGCAAAAAATTCATTCAGTCTTTAATGAAATAGGATTTTTTCCCCCCTAACTTTTAGTGGATTTTTAATTTTAGTGGAATTCAGTTTTCATGAAGCTTGGAGTAGTTCACAGCTTTGTACCTCTGATGGGTGCTGTTGAATTGCATGTAGCTGTCCTCTGCCTTAAGATAACAGAAGAAACTTCCCTTGAGTAAGAAGCATTCAACTGAAAAGGAGAGCTTCTACCCAAAACATAGGAGATGTCTGATCACAGAAGTGCATCCAAGATGTCTGTGAGGGAATACTGGTAGTTTTTGTTATTAGAAATGTGTCTTAAAGATCAAAGAAGTGCTGCAGAAGCAGACAAGGCATATTGTTGGCTTTGACTTTGTGTTTTATCTGAGCAAGCATTGAGCGTGGCCCGAGAAAAGCTTGGGAAGATGTTTAGATCAAGTCCTGGCCAAAGGACTCTTAAAATATGCCACTATTACTTTTTTTTTTTTTTAAGGTCTTTTTTGTGTACAAGAAAACAGGACTTTAAAATAATAATAGCACTGAATCAAAGAACATTCAAAGACCTTGAGCTTTCTTCTTCTCAAAGCTTGTTATCCCTTAGTCTGGGGGTCTTGGTTAGCTGCTTGGCTCAGAGACTGTCTGAGGTTCCTTGCCTACTGCGTTCCCAGGCTGTCCTGGTGACAGGCACAACAGGGTAGATCAGCTCCTGATCAAAGAGGCAGGAAGGGACTTGGAAATGCATGCTTCACTTCTGGAGGGACGTTCAGAGGGAGAACTGAGTATCTTGGATATTTCCATAGCTCCTTTACAGGAATAGCTTCTGTGAGCTGAAGATCTGGTCTGTGCACTTTGTAATAGCCTGAGGATGTTCCAGGGATGTCTAACCTGGCCAAATTATTGGAAAGGAACCAGCGCTAGAAGAACTAGAATTAAGAATCCTTTTGCAGTAGGTAAATTATTTATTATGGCTAAGCTTACCGGCTGCTTTTGAACAGCAAGTTACTAATTTAGTATGGACGTGTAGTGCATAATATCTCAAAGTTAGCTGATCTGCTTGGTTAACCTATAGCCCAGTTTTTGGTATGTATAGTTCTTGTTGTTTTTATTCTTGCATACCTTGTGAATATGTGGAACTTAAAGAATGAAGCACTTGATTTATGAGACTGTTAGAGGAAGGTGTGTGTGTGTGCATACAGCTGTTAATATTCTTAATGGAGTAGCAAGTCATGTGCTGGTTGTGGCAGCACTCCATTTTTCTCCCTGTAGCTGCATACTTGTGTTTACATTTTAATACATTTTTTAAGACCTAGTATGCAGGATCATTGAAAAGTCAGCTAGTTTGATGAGCTGAAGTTGACTTAACTATGAGGTGAATCTGAGGGCATGGTAGCATGCAGCAGGATTTGGATTGATTCATTCATTTGTCTCAGCATTTGGCAGATAGAATAATAGAGTCCCTTCCCTGCTGTAAAATAACCCTTAGCTGTAGCTATTGCCTTTTGAAGAAGTGACCTTTTCTTGATCTTGCATGTATCTTGATGCCTTCCTGTTCCAGTTTGGAGGAGGAATGTATTTTTTGAGGGAAATCTTGTGATTCCCATGCACTGTGCTTCCCATTGCAGTGCAATTGTGGCACACATGGAATGGTCTCCTTTCAGACAGTTCTGTGTCTCAGGGTGTGCTGCAGGAACGTACCTTATGTAGGTGGGACTCTCCTAATGTTAATCTAAACCAAAATGGAAACTTCATACCTTTTTGCTGGGTGGATCTGCTCCTATTGCCCCCAACTACTTAACTATGTCAGTGCAGCCATGAAGTGACCTTTATTTGAAATGGGTGCACTTCTCCTGAAGAAACCAGCTTATTTGAGATAATATTTTCAAGTTAAAATATGGGAACTGCTCTAAAGGTAATGCCTCCTATTTTGTTATTATGTTGGCCCATGCTGTTAGAGGCAGATGTTGATGGGATGGCAGTAGAGGCTGAGCCTTCCCACCAGTATTCCCTTACATGTTGTTGCCGTGTGACAGATGGCAGCAGAGGGGCAGTCTGACAGAATGGCATCTGACATGGGAGTGCAGATGAAGCAAAGGTGTGGAATTGAATCCCTCTATATGGGAAAAATGTCTCCCATTGACCTTCACTGACACTTGATGAACGTGTCTGGAGACCAAACAATGGATTGCCACTGAGCACAGCAAGGCAGTGGGTGGTGCGTTTCAGCACTGGTGATGGCAACAATAGTCACCTCCAAAAGTGGAGATTTTGACAAGTACAGCATGCAGGCTTGTGTTCATCACTGGTGAAAATGGATAACTAATGGTGATGACTTGAAAAATATTGTTCTGTAGCTGAGAAATGTTTCTACCAAATAGCATTATTGTGCTCCTTGTATCTGTTGTAGTTTCCATGGAAATTATCAGGAGGCATTACTTTTGGAGTGACCTCCTCAAGTCCTGTCCTTTCTTATGTAACTGTTGCATATTATATAATTTTCATGTTTTTCTTGCAGTCTCTATTGCATTTTTTGCTCAATGTGATTATTTACTTTTTACACCAGAAGTAACTCATTGTTTTACTGGGTTACAGTTTCTATCAAATATGCTGTCTCATGGTGTGGGCTCTTTCACTGCACAGAATTTTAATGAATTTACATAACTTATACTAGCAGAGAGGGCCTTTTATCTCACTCCCTACAGAATTTTTCATCATAAAATCTTCCCCTTTTCTGTCATCTGTATTCTTTCCCTGTGATCATGAGGTTTTTTTTTTAAACTTGATGATACTTATCTGTTTCAAGTAGGGGAAGAAAGTATTTTTAAAAGCAAATACAGGAATTATTAGCTTATTCAAATACAGCATGTGGCATTTTGAAACTTCCTGTATTTTTTTTTTTCTCTTCACTAGTGTTGACAAAATATACCCATTCCTGTGTGCCAATGATTTTATCAGAGTGGCAGAGTTCCATGGAAGTGATAAGTTCGAGCTCCCTTATGGAATAAAGAGAGCAGGTTTGTGTTCCTTGTGTAGCTGTTGTTTTTTTTTTTTTTTTTAAATGGAAACACCTACATGTCATGTAAGGCCATCTCAGTCTCTGGGCTTGATGTTTCCTTCTCACTGATGTTAGTGCTTTTGGGACACCTATGTCACCTAATGGTTTTGCTTCATTTCTCTGACCTTCTGTCTCTTAATGAATGAAGTGCTGCAGGGAAGAGTTCTCCCTCCTGTGAGAGAAGCTTCAAAAAGGAGGGAGTGAGGGTGGATGGAGTTGATTCAACTTCCCTTCCTTGGTAGATGGGCTGAAATGCTGAAGATAATTAGCTAATACTTTGTTAGGGAAAACTTCAGCTGAGTGAGAGTGAAGGTTCAATCAGAACACCAAAGCTGATCAGGGTCCAGAGTCCTACTGAGGTAAATGCTCTCCCACTTGAGGCAGCTATCAGCAATGTTTCCCTTTTACAGGGCTGGCTTTTCCCACTGAGGGGTGTCACTGGGACTGCAGAGGGTAGTTCCACCATTGTATGGCTGCTGCACCCATGCAGCATTTGCTTACTCATGTCTGTGTTGGTTGAGATAGAATAGATGGGGTTGGAGAACCCAGGCACTAGGTATCCTTTTGGAAAGGGCTGTAAATCTCAAGTAGTCTCAGAGTTTAACGTTGATCAGTGCACTGTCCTGGTACCCGTGCAAATGTGGGCTTAAGCCTATTTCTTTGCCCTCCGTCAGTATAACAAGGATAGTGCATTTTCCTGCTCCTCTGGAATTGTGATGAGGAAAAATACATTTGAGATTGAGAGTTGTTCAAACTCTATCAGTTAGAAGCACGTGAGTGTCCACAGGCATGTCCCTACAGGGTTGGGCTGGACAGATGCTTCTGCCTGTATTGCTTAGTGAGTACAGACTGGTTTGATATCTTCTCCCAAAATGTGTATTACAGTTCCTGTCCCTATCTGAGTGGTCAAGGCTGCATCTGCTTCAGCTGAAGGTGGGAGGAATAAAAAAAAGGTCATGAAATCTCTTCCAATGCTTGCTTACTCGTAACTAGAATTACTTTGGATGCAAATCCTGTTTTCCAGCACTGGAGTGTGGAGTCAGGAAAAGCTTACAAGAGAGCAGCTCTGACAAACTTGAATTTTTGAAGAGGTTTTGAGTTCTTTTGAATAGTGCATAAAAACTATTGTGTCTGAATAGGCTGTAGTCATGTTGACATACTTACTTTTTTACTGCAAAGCACTGAATATCTTAAAATCTTCTCTATATTTGCTTTTTAGAACAATTTTTTCGGTTAGCCCTTTCAAAACTGCAAAACTGTGGACTGTCCAACGAAGACAGCAGGTGAGATGTTCTTTTTCTACTGGTTTTGTTCCTTGCATTTTCAATATTTGGTATTTATCTGAAAAGTGTCAGTGATGTTATCCTGAATTTGTTTAAGTTCGGTACGATGTGAATTTAACCAGAGTGTCCAAGCAGTACGTAACTGGTTCCAAGGTTTAAAGAAGTTCAGTTTTAAACAGTTATAGTACCAACATTCGAAAACAATATTTTCAGTGAGGGAGTTTAAAATTCTGGATCTTTTTTCCTAAATGCTTTAGAATTTTGTTTTCTGAACCGAGTTTGAGTTTTTCCTAGTCTTTCTATACTCAAGAAAAGTGAAACTTACACTCTTAAAAATTGTATATGATCTCTTTTGAAGTCGTTACTGGTGTAAGTAGATAACTTATACTTTCTTTGTGTAACTTAGATATTTTCAGAAGACTGGAGATTGACTGTTTCTAAACGAGAAATCTTACTGAAATCCCCATGTTACTGCATCTGCTGTCCTGGTGCAAACAGTTACTCATATGTATGTTCAGCTTCCTTTTCTCATAAATGACTTCATTGTATTCCCAAAGGAAACTTATGCAGCCAGGAAAGATCTTTCCAGTAACCAGAATTTGGCACAGAGTGGAGCATGCCCTTGATAACTCATTTTCCGTTTGTTAGATTGTCTTGTTTGAGTCTTGGATAGAAGCCACTTCTGCTAAGATTCTTTTTGTTTGGTTCTTTTTTTTTTTTTTTTTTTTTTTTTTTGAGGTAGGGTGATAGAGTCTACTAAAATTATATATTTACCAAGTGACGCAAATGATTTCTTAGACTTGCAGTCAAGCAGATCATAGAATGACTTGGGTTGGAAGGGACCTTAAAGATCATTTAGTTCCAGCCCCTCCCTGCTGTGGACAGAGTTGCTAACCACTACATCAGGCTGACCAGAAATCCATACAACTTGACCTTGAACACCTTCAGGGATGGGGCATCCACAACTTCTCTGGGCAGTTCCAGTGCCATACCACTCCCTAAATGAAATATTTTCCACTATCATCTAATATAAATTTCTCCTGTTTTAGTTTAAAAATGTTCCCCTTTGTCCTATCGCTATCAAACCGTGTAAAAAGTCAGTCTCCATCCTTATAAGCTCCCTTTAGATACTGAAATGCCACAATGAGGTCTCCCTGGAGCCTTCTCCAAGCTAAACAAGCCCAGCTCCCTCAGCTTGTCCTAGTAAGAGAGGTGCTCCAGCATTCTGATCATCTTTCTGGCCCTCTTCTTGACCTGTTCCAACATCTCCACGTTTTTCTTGTGCTGGGGACTCCAGGCCTGGACACTGTACTCAATATGGGGCCTTAAGAGGGTAGAGCAGAAGGAGGCAATCACATCTGTCTTCCTGCTGGCCACCTCTCTTTTGATGCAGCCCAAGATACTCTTTGCTTCTGGGTTGCAAGTGCATGCTGCTGGCTCAATTCCAGTTTTTAATCCACCAGGACCCCAAGTCCTTCTCTTAGGACTGTTCTCAATACATTCTTCTCCACCCATAAACATAGCAGCTGGTAGGATTGCCCCAGCCCGTGTGCAACATCTTGCACTTGGCCTCTATTAATTTCATTAGACTCACATGGACCCACGTTTCAACCTTGACCAGGTCCATTTGGATGGCATTCTTTACTTCTCTTGTATCAACTACACCACTCAGCTTGGTGTTGTCCACAGTCTTGCTGAGAGTGTGCTTCATCCCACTGTGTCACTAATAAAGATATTAAGGAGTACTGTTCCCTTGGGGGACACCACTCATCACTGATTTCCACCTGGACATAGAGTTGCAGACCACAACCCTCTCGCTGAGACCATCCAACCAATTCTTTATCTATCGACTAGTCCAGCCTTCAAATCTGTACGTCTCCAGTTTAGGGATAAAGATGTAGTGTGAGACCATGTCAAAGGTCTTGCAAAGTCTAGGTTCATGACATCAGTTTTCCTTCTCTGATCCACTGATGCTGTCACTCCATCATAGAAGGTTAGCAGACTGAGCAGATGCAGTCTCCCTCTGGTGAAACTGTGTTGGCTATCTTGGATCACCTCATCTCCCACGTGCCATAACATAGCTTCAAGGAAGATCTGCTACATGATTTTCCCAGGCACAGACTTGAAGCTCACCAGCCTGTAGTTCCTTGAGTTTTCTTTTTTCTCTTTTCTTAAAAATGAGTGATGTTTCCATTTTTACAGTCACCGGGGGCTTCACCTGACAGCCATGACTGTTAAAATATGATGGAGAGTTGCCTGGCAACTGCATTAGTCAGTTCCTTGAGGACCCTGGGATTGCGTGTCCTCAGCCCTGTAGACTTGTACACATTCAGTCTCATGATGTGGTCTTAGACTTGCTCTTCTCTTATAGTGAGAGGGACTCTGTTCCCTCCAGCCACCACCCAAAGATTCAAGGATGTGAGAAGCATGACTGCCTGACTGATAGCAAAGAATGCATTGAGTATCTCAGCCTCCTCCATGTCTGTTGTAGCCAGTTCTCCCTTCTCATTTATGGGAGAAGGGGAGGGAGAGATTGACTGAGAAACCTGAGAAACTGCCTTATACTGGGATAACATGCAGAATACTTAATAGAGTTGGTTGCAAATAGTGCTGAGATTGGCTGTACTTGGTTTTGTTTGTGCTTTTTTTTTAATCAAGAAGATCAAATTGAAGATTGTTGCCTCAAATCCTATTTTAATTAAACCTAGGTGTTATGTGAAAAGTAATTGGTGTTCAAACCCAGAAGTTACCATGTTTTTAATACTCATTGGTCATTTTCTTCACCTACTGTACTCCTTTCTTCCTTTGTGTTAAGTATCAAGTTCTAGGATGTTTGGATTTACTTTCAAGTTCAGAAGAATGGGGCAAAAACAACCTACAAAAACATTAACCCAACACCTATGCTCCATGAGAGGGATAATTGGGCAAACATGCACAGAGGTGACTGAGAGAGGCTAGTCTTGAATGAAAGTGCTAAAGGTTGTATTAGGAATCTACTGAAATCATAAGTTCAGCACTAATAATTTGGGCAGTAACAAACCTTGTAGTACAGCATGACATCTCTTAAACTGTGTCATCTGCCCTGGGGTTCTTTGAATGTAGGTTCTTCATTTGAAACAGAGGTATATTTAGAATTTCTGGGAAGTGTGATTCTTTTTATTAATAGTAATATACCTGAGTTGGTACTGAAGCAAAACTGCAGTGGTGTAAATGTACTGAGTGTTCAATGACGACATTCAGTGAGTTTGTTCTTAATCATTTTTTGTGTACAGCACTGATGTAATATGAATCATTGTAGGGGAAAAGAAATATACATTTATCCAATATACAGTGGCTTTTGAATAAGAAAAACTTTGGGAATAACCATGTTCTCCAGCAATAGAATTATTAGGTAGTTCTGTACTGCTGTCATTTAATTCTCTATTCTTGACAGAATAGCAGCCAGATTTTCCTGTAAACTTTTTTTTGGATGGGGAACCTACTGTAAAGTATTTTAGCAAACATTGGGCTAATATGAACATCAAATGTTGCACACAAGTACAGCTCGTGTACACACATCAGTGAAACAGCACAGTTTGCTACAAAAGGATTTTTTTTCTGAACAGTGCAGTGTTTAAATCTTAGTTCAAAATCTTGCTTTAAAGGTCTAGCTTTGCAAAGCTGTTCAGAAAGTAAGAGTGTCATTGTCTTCAGTGGAGAAGCCTGCCAGAGAAAGGTTTTCCATGCTAAGAGTATATCCACGGAACACCTTCCAAACATGTGCTCCACCCATTTTTTCGCAAGTAGTCAGTGAGTGCCCTTCAAGTTTATCAGCAGTAAATTCTTGCAAATACACTTACACAATACTGAGTCAACAAGCTGTGACCTCCGCATCCTCCTCTTACCAAACAACCTCCAAGGAAATGATTTTCATTCCTCAATAGGCTACTGGGGGTGTATGCTAAAGCAGCCGAGGTCAAGATATTTCTTGTTGTCACTGTTTTTTTTTCTTTCCAGAAAAACAGGAAAGCTGAGGGTGGAATCTTTATTTGCACTTTGAAGGCTTCATTGCCACTGAACAGTAGTTTTCTTCTATGGGGCTAGGAACATGTTTCTTCACCATGTAAACAAAATACGCAAATTCATGCCTGACCTTTAAGTTAAGCAGCTCTTGTACACAGTGTGAATAGAGGGGCTTGAGTGATTGTTTTAGGCATTACGCTTTGGTGTTAGGGATCAATTACTGTGCCATTTGTATCAGGATCCATGTGTACACCATGTAAACATCCAACACCTACATGTAATCCCTTTGTCACCCAAGCCATTGCTATACCTGAGATGTTAATCCTTTTCCTTTTCTTAAGTATTTGTGCTTGTGTTTGTAATGTGGATCACTAGATATTTGAGTTCATCTTACTTCTTGTATAGCAAGCCAGATGTCATCTAAGGACTTCAAAGTTTACTTCTTATTGATTTGTGAATGTGGAGAAAAGATGAACATTATTTTCTTTTTCTTAAAATGGAAACACAAAAAACTTTACGAAACGAGACGGGTAAAGTATCTGGGAGTAACGCTTTGCTGAAAATCAGTACTTCTGTAATCTGCAATAACAAGAAGTCAGATTAAGTCAAGTATTTTGATTTGAATACAGTCCAGGCTTGCTACATACTTTTTTACCTCTATTTCATAACAGGTTTCCTATACAGTTATGTTCTGTTTTCATTGGTCTTAACATTTACACATGTGCATCAAGTGTATCTAGTCTCTAGAATAAGCCTGCTTATCAGTGAGCTCTGTTACTGTGTGTGTAGGCCTATCATCGTAACCAGAGACACTCAAGTACTTAGAGGAGGCAGCTAAAAGGAGAAGATAATTCAGAAATACGTGTTCTCGCTAAACATTCTGTTTGAGTTAGCTGCCTTTAACTTCCTGGGCACTGAGATTTTTCTGATTTGGGTTTATCTCTGACTCCACAATGATGTGTACAAGTTACCATGAGTATTTCACCTGCTTTTTGACTGTGATATCAGTTTCAGAAAGTTGTTACCACTGCTAGATGCGTGATTGGTGTTTTATATATTTATATATAGGCAGCTGATAACATTTTTTTCAGTATTTATGTTACTGAGTGTGCTGAGATCTGAAAACTTTATCAAATGCCACATTTCAGTCTGTTTCTCTGTCTGAGTAGTATTTCAGCTATTAAAAATCCCCTAACAAGTTGTAGTCTGCATCTCTCAGTAAGAAGAGGCAACTGGATTTGACCCGATTGCCCAGCTCTGAAGTCCCATTTTATTTTACCTCCTTGCTCTGAATGCCATGCTATGTCACAACTGCACAGTGCAAAGTGAACACACTGAAGAGCTGCTTGCTTTTACACCAGAGTGGAAGGCTTTATTTCAATAGGTGTCATTCAAAATCTGGGAAGCCTATATTATAGATAGGATGGATATAGCAAAGAAGCTTCTTAAATTGTTACTTTGGCCAAAATTAGGAAGGTACTTAGTCTAAGGAATAATTTAAAATTCAGCTACAGAAGAAAGAACGAGCAGTGCAGCTTCAAGTAGATTAAAAAAAAATATTTTGAAAATGAATGAGCTGTGAAGCTCCTGGAATAGAGGGAATGACTTTGTGGTGGTAGAGGGAATAGGCATACTGAGGACAAGAGGGTACAACAGGTTCTGCACCTCTTGTTTCAGAGGTGTCAAGTCATGCAAAATTGTGGCATTAGCTGGAGATCTTTTTTTTTTTTTTTGTGAATACTTGGCATCTCCTAAGCTGTTTAGGAAACTAGAGAAAGGTATGCCAGCTTTTTCTGGTATCGCTCCGCTCTCAGGGCTGTATTTAGCAGTGCTGGATTTTGTTGGATGTGTGTGTAGTGATTTAGAGAGATTTAACAGCCTGATCAAATATAAAATATACATGTAGTGTGTGTGTGTGTGTGTATATATATTTAATTAAATAGAGGCAACTCCCTCTGCAGATGTAGTCCTAGAAGCAGCAAGTGAAAGCCTGCCACCTCAGCATTTCTTTTGAAGTGTGGCTTTGAACTGTAGGCATTTATTTTCCTTTGACATTTTTAATAAGCTTTAGGTTTTCAGCATTGGTTGGTTTTGCATCCAGTTTATTTTCCTTAGCTTGTATGCAGTGCAGCTTAACTGTTTTAACAGTTCTGTAAGAAATGTAGGGAACTGCACTGTCCATTGAGTGTGGGTCAGTCTGATCTGGGACTGTTTTCGTTGCTGTTTAATAGTACTTTCCTCAACTGAGAAAAGTAAGTTGGACTGTCTGAGGAGGCTGCATAAAGTGCCATACTGAGCATTTTACGCAGGTTACAGTATTCTTTATGGCTTCATACCATGATCCTTGTCAGTAAGAAATGGCACAAAGCCTTTTTCTTGTTTGAACAACCATAGCAATTGATATCTGATGTTTAGAACTGCAAACATTCTTGTAAAGGCTTCCTGAGTGAAGCAAGACCAAGCCTGTCAACTCTTCTTTTGCAAGCAAAGCGTACCTTCTGCTAGCATTGAAATATGCAATAGAGAGCAAAAGATACCATTAGAAGATACGGGACAACTCCTTGAAAAAATTTACTGCTAGACTTCAATTTCATTAGTTAGCATCTCTGTTTACATAATTTTTACATATTCACAGCTGGAAAGCATATATGTTGAACTCAAAAGGATGGACTTTGACTGAATGTATCATAAAGTCTAATTTTTAGCTTAGTGTTTTGCATGCCTAGAATACTGTCTGATTCGAGTTTAGTGATATAAAAAGCTGTCTTTTTTCAAGCACCTCCCTATTACATGCACTTCAGCACATTTAAGCAAGTTTAGATGACACTTCATAAGTGGATGGAAAAAATTCAACATGTGAAGAGCCATCCTGTGTCATTGGGCTAAGGTTTTTTACACTTACAGTTCAGAGGTTTGTTAAGGTAAATTGTGATATCTTTCCACTGTAGCTTTCTTTTGGTGGTCTCTGGAGTTGTAAAGCATTGCAGGAACATCACAACTTGAGTGAGTTTTCCAGACATGCTGTATCTCAGAAAAATCTGAAGTGTTGTGGGAGGTGGGTGGTTTACTGAATTGCACCTGCATCGCAATCCGGCTGTGTGTTCAGTAAGCCATTAGAAAACAGCATGTAAATTCTGTTTTACAGAGGAGAAACCTCTACCTGACTTTTGCAGCCCCTGAAATAATGCAGCAATACTCTGAAATATTTAGTGTATGAAATAGGACTGAGACCCCTGTGTAGAACACAAGGAGTGTCCAAGATGCAGCATAGATAAGCACATCAGCTACGTGCTCGTGAGACAAATATCTGTTGGTCACAATATTGAAACATGAGGTGTAGTGCCTATCAATGTTCTGTTTGTTTCACAGTGTTGCCTGTCGACGGTGTGTTGTGGTCGGTAACGGAGGAGTACTTCGAAATAAGACATTAGGGGGGAAAATTGACTCATATGATGTGATAATAAGGTAAATGGTATTTATTTTTCATTTTTTTTCTACATGTAGATATTTAAAAAAAAAAAAAAAGAAAGTATTGTAAGTCAGTAGCTTTAGAGTCCGGCCCTGCCTCTTACCTTCCATACCATGCTTGTCTTCCCCTGTGCTGGCACATTCATTGCTTGGAGTGGATTAAAAGTAATGCTGTGAGGACCACCTCAAGGCACTCATCATCCTCAATATAATATCGATGCTTGTTTCTTTTCCTCAAACATACTGTCTCATACTGGAAGTATACCAGAGGATGCTGGGTCTGAAGAAGAGGTGTCTGGTTCAGGGAAACAAAGAAAGTCTTACAGAGGAACAGGCAAGAAGGGAGGAATTCAAACGCCAAACAATCTGAAAACAGACTGTTGGGCTAATTTCTAGCTGAAACCAAGATAGTAACTAATCAAACAGTCTTTCTGCCAGCAACTGACCTGTCAGATGGTGTGTCCTCTTTCAGTAAAACCTCTGAGCTGCCATTTCAGTTTCTGCTTTGCTATTGTCTCAGTCTCATTTTTTCTTACTTTGCCATCAGTTTTACAAGGAAGATCCATTAATTATTTTGACCTTATTTTCAAGTATTTGGATCTAACTCTTCAATTCAAAGGCTCCCCTTAGATGTATCTACTCTTCTTAAAAAAGAAATCCATTTATGCCAGTGTTACACGCTTTAAAGCAGTTATTTCTAAAACCAAAACTGCTTTGGAATTACATTACCTGTTTGTTTACTGTGAATGAACAAAAAAGTGGTGTTTATATTCTGTACTTAAAACATGTTCTGATTAAAACTTTGAAGTGTTCCCATGTCTACATGCCTTGTTTTGTAAACATTTGCTCCCAAACAGCACACCTCCTGTTGTGAGCAGTCAGTTGTATTGGCAAGAATAGGGTGTAGAGAAACTGTGCCTGTGTGCTCCAAAGAGTATGCAGTGCAGCCACCGAGCAAAATCTACAAGATGAAGAGTTAAACACAGCCTCTTTGGCACCTCAGACCAAAACAGACTCTACCCACCTGCCTGCTGCTTACTAATCTGCTGTATTTCAAAGCAGTGGCAGCTGTGCAGGTATTTTTTAAAGGGGGGGGGGAAGCTATAAACAAAGATGAATGAGTATCAGGTATACAGTCATAATCGCTGTTGCCACGCAGATAGTGAAGAGTATTAAAACATTCTTGAATTGCCTCTCAAATCATTTAATGTTATGGATGGAGCGGTCAGTAATTCTCCAAGCCAGGTGTTCTCATCGATTATCTTCAGTTGCTGTGTTTGAGACAAAATCAGAAGGTCTTTTGTTCGAGTGACATACGATAAGCAATCGTACAGTTGTACTCTAAACCACCTTGGCTGGGTTCCTGTATGTTCTTGATCCTGCTGGGTTAGCGGGTGAGTGCAGGAGGCACCTGATAGCTGCTCATCTGCCATGTAATGTGATAAGTGAATGCCAGGGCACTAAACCCTTGCACACCTGGACATGCTGCCTGCCTTGCGGACTTCTGTGTGTGCCAACCAGTGCACAGAAAGGATGCATGTCTGGAGTAGTCATCGCCATTTCTGTCTCTCTGTTCTTTCCAGGATGAATAATGGCCCTGTTATAGGGTACGAAGAAGATGTTGGGAGAAGGACGACTTTCCGCCTTTCCTACCCGGAATCCATCTTCTCAGATCCAATCCACTACGACCCCAACACTACTGTTGTTATTATCGTCTTCAAACCACGTGACTTAAAGTGGCTTTGGGAGATATTAGGCGGTCAGAAAATAGTGAGTTTAATTACTTACGTGTTTTTGCGCTCAGCTTGCCACGCATCTCTCCTGTGAGATGTACTTGGTTTGCTTTTAACCTTAGCCCTCCTGGCTGGGGACCATACTGCATCTGTCAGTCTGCTCAGTTTCACTTTCCCTCGTATGCTCTATCCTTTCTCACTCCCACATTTAATCACTTCTTCAGCCCAAAGCAGTTTTCTTCTTGGACATTTCTTTTAATTCCTCTTGTAGCACTGCTTCATATTCTAACACAAATGCTCCAGCCGTTTCCTATGTTATTTTATCCTGTGCACTTGGTGAAATTGCAGAATAATGTTATCAGGAATCTCTCTTCAAGGTCTTTAGACCAAACTGCTGCTCAAATAAAATGGGACCAAGTTCAAAACCATGCCTGTTTCTGAGGGCTTTGTCCAGAAAATGTTTGATTATTTCCAAGGATATTTTTACAATCTCTGTTTCAGTACTGCACTACTCTCGCAGAAAGGATTTCTCCTGAGCACTGAGCACTCAGGATCTGTCTGGTCCTGTCTTTTTTTTTTTGGTTCCCTCTTGTAAACCTCTACCAGTTATTGGAAGATGAGCTGAACAAACCTACCCGTCTTATGCCCTTCTTGCATTGCGTGTCGTGCACTCTGGCCCCCTGTACTGAGCTTGCCCCTGATCAGTGCTCTCTTATACTGTTACTGTGGGCAGCCCAGAAGGGTGTTTGTGAGACCACAGGCAGATGCAGTACTTGAGTATGATTGTTTCTCTCTGTTGCTCCCCATGCTCTTGTTAAAGGAGCCAAGTATACAGTGAGCCTTTATTACCTCCAGGGCATGATGATGGCGTGTGTTGTCCACCATGAACCTTTCTGCAAAGCCAGCTAACCAGCCCAGCCTCTACTGCTGCAGGGAATGATCCTGTTGCAAGAGCACAATTTTGTGTATGTCTTTGAGCTCTGGAAGGTTCAACATTTATTTTCTTCTTCCTCAAACACCTGCCTTTAGGTTTTCCTTTGGTTAGAATCAGAGTTGCAACAAAAACAAAATCAGCTGTTAAAAATAGCAGTAAATAATGTGTATTTATTTGTCCATTGCAGAGTGCTAAAGGCTTTTGGAAGAAACCAGCTCTGAACATGATATACAAATCTAATCAAATCAGGATTCTTGATCCCAGCATCACCAGAAAAACAGCTTATGATTGGCTTCATTTCCCAACAAGATTTCCCAAAAAAGAGGTAAGCTTTCTTTGTTTTTGCCTTTTAGTTGCATGTATCCAAAGAAGTAATTATTTCTTCATTATAGCACACCATTAGAATATCATTTCAGGATCACATTACGTTAGCTTGGGTTTAGGTGATGCTCAGAGATGAAAAGACTGAGTTGAGAAAATAGCTGGTCTTGTATGCTAAAACTCTCTTATGGATTCAGTCACTAGTATTAAATGAGACAACATCGTAGACAGATAATTCCTTTTACAAAATAGGGGAAACCAGGCAGGTATTGGAACATGGTGGATCTGTAGAGACTCTAGAAATATTAAGGAGTTCTAAATTACTAAATTTAAGGATTTTTTTCTTATATAAAAACAGAATGGAACCACCACCAATGAAAAGGCAAGGAGAGCCTGTAATTCTAACACTGCTGCAGTTTCATTCTGCTGAGGATGGGCAGGGATTAGGGAGCAGCCCCACATTAATGGCGTATATCTAACAGCATTCTTGTACTTAGTGATCTGATGCCAAACATTGTAATGGGTAAATCAAGAATTTGGATATTGAAAAATATGTTTAAACTCTTATCCTTCAGCCAGATGATGTTTTTGATGAAAGTTAAGGCTTCAGGTTGGAGACCTCATTTGTGCAGTCATGACTGATCATGCACTGTGTAACGCAGATGCTTGTATGAATACCGTTCCCTGGGGTCATGGTCATTACACAGAGCTGCTTCATCAGGGTTACCTGACACGTGTGGGAACTTCTGACAATTTGTTTGTGGAGTATCTACCACATGCTTGCCAGGGTTTCTTGGCATTTTAGTTCTTCAGCTGAGGATAAGAAGAAGGCAGAGCAGAAGCTGGAGGTCAATTGGTATCCTCAAGGGCCACAGTACATCCATGGCTTTCATGGTTTCAGAAATCCATTCGGTTAGTTTATGTAATGCTCCCCTATCAGTGTGAGTAAAAGTAGGACTGGTGCTGTCAGTGAGCCAAGCAGATGTGTGTGATGTCCCAAAGCTAACACAAAGGTGCAGTCTGCTCTGTCGCTTTGAACAAAGGGCATGCTTTCTGCTCCTCTCCTGCTCAAAGCTGGAGCAGTCTATGTCCATGGTAGAATATAGTTCCTCTTTCCACCTCCTCCACATCCCCCTTGCTCCATCCTTTGGGGTTTCAGAGCCTCTCATCCCAGGCAGCAGCAGTGGCTGAATTCAAATCCTCAATTCTCTCATTTCACAGAGGTGTGTTGTGTAGTATGTCTGTGTGGTACTGCCTTTGCTGTCCTGTGCTTCAGCCCCCTCTGCCTGGAGGAGATGCCATAAACAGTTGTTACTTTCCCTGCTGTTGCTGCCTTTTCCATTAAGCCAAAATTATGTTCCTTATTTGTACATTTCTGCCTAGTCCAGTAATCACTTCTTCTCTGTTAGTGACTATGATGGTTTTAACTGAGCCAGGAAAAACAACTGTAAAATCGGATGTGAAATGTCATTGTAAGCCAGGATATTGCTAGGGCATGCTAGGAACACTTAAGTGGCAGCAGTTCTGCTTAATAGAATCTGCAGAAAATGAGTTTGCTTGATCAAGGCTTCTTCCTTTGCCATGTTCAAGGGTTTCTCTGAGGTTTGGTTGGACAAAAAAGCATGCTTAAAGCATGACAGTATATTTTAAAAGCAGTTTTGATTTTCATTAGTATATTCCTCTGAGCTGTATGCTTATGGTAGCCAGAGGTGAAGAGAGTTATTTTGCACCTGGTGACACTCCTGAGATTTCCAACTACAGTATTCCTGACACGTAACATTCCTGTAGTAATTTTGGGGTTCTGACAGGTGCACCACAATGTTATGCTATTGGCCCCTCTTGGAAGGTTGTTCTGTTTGGCAGGACCCCTGGGCAGTGGTGTGTATTTTAATTTGATGTCATTGTTTTTGGTGTACTCCAGAAGTCATAATAAGTGCACCCCCCAAAATAACATAAAATATGGTAGTCCAATATTGTGATTTTAATTAGGCTTGCAGAACTGATGTTAGTAATGTTTTTTTTTTTTCCCAAGAGTTTTGTTTCTATATCATACCACAGAAATAAATACTTTTTGTCACAGAATACATCTACTTTTTCTCCACCCAGAATTTCCTACTTCTGGCTTGTTTGCTTTGTTTTCAGAAGCAGATAAACTGAGCCTTGAGTAAAAGTTGAAAACAGGATGTGATTTCTTTTTTTTTCTCAGCTGGGGTTTGACTGCAACTACTGGAAGTCTTCAGCTCATTTTGTCTCTGAATTCACGTAATTCAGTATTATTAAGGTTGGAAAAGACTTCTAAGATCATCTTGTCCAACCGTCAGCCCATCCCCACCATGCCCACTAACCATGTCCCTCAGTGCCACGTCTGCACAGCTCTTGAACACCTCCAGGGATGGTTATTCCACTATCTCCTTATACAGCCTGTACCACTGCCTCTTTTGTTTTAGCCAACCCAGACATGTCTGCTTGAACATTTTGTCCATTTCTGGGGAATTTTTCCTCTAAAATTCATCAGCTGTGATCTAATGAAAGAGATCACTTCATTGTACAAATCCTGCCTAATTTAATTCCTCAGTATTTTAGCTTCTGCTAGAACAATCATATATGTTATCGCAGAATAAGGCAGTTGCAACGAGCTGTTCTCTGGTCTCTTATAAGAAGTGTACATTTTCAGTTAGATACTTTTATTTTTTAGTAGTTGAATCACTTGTTTGTCACCCGCTCTTGATGTTTTATGTTGCATTTACTTCTGAGCTACTAACTGTAGGGAACCACGAGCAGTTTTATCTACAGTTTACTTTACTCTAATGGAAATAGTGTGGGAAGCTCTAAAGCTGTTCCTCAGGAATTTCACTGCTCTGAAAAAGTTGAAATGTAGCCAACTTAATGCAGCAATAACATTAATGTTCTTTAGTTTGGCAGTGTGAAGATTTGAGATGTATCATGTTTGTCTGGATCTCCAACATCTAGAAACATATGAACGCATCTGATTATTCAGTCAAAGTTAATGGAGGAGACATGTTCTGCAGTGTGTTGAGGTCAGGCCAATTTCATGAAAGTTGGTTTCTGAGCAGAACGATGGAGAAACTTTGCTGATTCCTCTACTGAGGGAAGGCCACAGTGCGTGCTCAGCCCTTATTAGAAACCAGAGAAGCCAATGTGATGCTGACCTGACAAGTATACTTGCCATGGAATTGCTGCAGGCAGCACCAAGCTTCTTAGGAGACAGGAGGGAGTCCAAATACAAAACCAAATGTCTGTAGAAGAGCTGGGTTCCCTGATATCAAATGCCTTTTTTCTTTTCTTTGCTATTCGTGAGAAGCTGCTAGTTGTTTATGTATGCATGTTGTTTGTGTTTCATTTTAGAAACCCAAGCATCCAACAACGGGGCTAATTGCCATTACACTAGCATTTCACATTTGTCATGAAGTTCACCTGGCGGGCTTCAAATATGATTTCACTGACAGGAACAGTTCTTTGCACTACTATGGCAACGAGACAATGTCTCAGATGATGCAGGTAACATGCATTTGTTTATGCTGAGGGGCATGCTTATGGAAATGCAGCTGGCAAGTGAGGAAGGCAATGCAGTTAGATAAAAGGAACTGCAGGTTAGAAAGGCTTCCCATTTTCTCTGCTGCTCGTGGGTTTTTATTGCTTAAAATCTCTTTGCGGTTGCTTCTGAAAAATGTGGATAATGATATTTGTGTCCCTTGAGCTACATTTTATTCTGTGGTGTGTCTGTGTTAATTTGTCCATTTGAGTGTTCTGTTTTCCTTTAATGATGGCTGCACGGCTCTTGTTCATAGAGGCATATTTGCTAGCACCATTAGAACATGAGTAGGCACTGTTCACATTTCCATTCTTTTTCTTTGGCAGCTGCTTGCAAAAGTGATCACAGTTATGAAATTTCTTTAATAAAAAAAATTGAAGGATAAAGGAAGGAGTGAAAGACCTAAAACTTGCAGTTAGGAAGAGAAATGAATTTCAGAAATGAAAAGCAGAAAAGCAGCTCATAAGAAGGGATAGGAGAAGGAAGCACTTCCAGGAGGGAGAAGCCACAGCTCACCAGAGGAGGAAGCAGCAGGACATCAGTAGACATCAGCAAAGCCTTTTGCTCCTGCAAAGAAGGGCTTTGCTACACCTATGTCTCTGTTTTTTGTCTCTGCTCTTGCCTTCATCTCTGTACTCCAAGCATCTTCATCTCGGCCCTTTACCTCAATGTGAGCAGTTTTCTCTTACACATGCACACCCAGTGTGTTACATTGGTTCCATGTGGGACCTCTTTTATCTCCTCCTCCCTTTCCTAAAGAGGAAGGATGAGGCAACGTCCGTAGGACATCATATCTCTCTGAGGAGTCCTAGGTACCCTGTGCTCAAAAGTGATTATTCTTTGACACTTAGCTCACCTTTATTTTGAGGTTCCCCTCTGCAGGTAATTTCCAGTAAGCTAACCTGATGTACCAGGTTCTTTGCACTCTCTGCTGTCTGCAGTGGATGCCTTCTGGGTTTCCTTGTGCTGTCCTCCACTAACCTCAGTGATTTCTTATGTATTCAGGATCCTGATCAGGATAGAACACTAAAAATGAGTTAGTTTTGGCTTGTTGGAAAGCTGACTGGCAGGACACGTTGAAGCTGCAAATGAGCGCTCTTTGAGAACTGTGTTTGACCTTTGAGAACGACTTGTTTTCTGGTTGCTTATGTTGCAAATGCGGTTAAGCAGTTGTTGCCTACGTGTGCAGAGATGAGGTGGGAGAGCTGGTAAAGGAAGGATGTCCATGAGACCGTTTCCTTATCAGTTTGGTTTGCATCCTAATAGAAAGTCTAGCCTAGTTTTGAGCTGTAGGGTCACTCATTCTGTTTTCTTGGAAGACTGTACCACAGCCAATACTAGGAAGTCTTTTCCCCAGCTCTTAGCATCTTCCTTCACAGGAAATTAGGAGGAAGGAGCAATGAAGTGATATTTCTGGTAATACATTGAATTTAATTTTTTAATGATGATTATTCCCTCACATCTCTTTAGAATGAATACCATGACATCAATGCTGAGCAGAAATTCTTGAAGAAGCTTATAGACAAGAACTTTGTGGTCAATTTGACGTGAAAGCTGGATGGAAAATATGAAGAACAATCACTATTTTCAAGATTTCAAAATTTTTTATTTTTTGTATGACGTTTTTATTTTTTAAGTGCAACATAACTGTTTACTGTTGAAAAACAGCACAGAAACCTCATAAGGCAGAAGCTTCTTCTAAGCCAGAGGATAGTGGACTATTCCAAGCTGAGCTAACTGAATTTCTGTGAAGCTATTTAATGGGAAAAACACAAAACTTTCAGCTGAAAGTATCAGGGATGTATAAAAATGTGATTCACATTACTTATTTATCAGCAAGAACTTTTTTCCAAATGGTTACTTCTCTGGAATACTTTATTTTCTAACGTCCTCTGAAAGGATTACACTGTTAAGAGACTGAGACAACTATTCAAGTAGCGGATGGATGTCAATGCTTGAATCTTGTAATACAAAAGTGGCTTTAAAAGCGATGCCTTTAAGTCATCACTGTGTGTTTGGGAGAAGGGGAAACATGCAGAACATACAGATTTCAGTCTGCCCTCCTCCTGAGCAGAGGACATCCATCTTCTGTGAAGAAGCCACAACCTGCACTGGTCATCGACTCTGAACTGCTGTCTGTGTGTGCCAAAGGTGAAGACCCTTTGGTCTGTTCACTGGAGATGCTGGGATTGACAATGCTCATGTTGTACCAGTTTATGGTAAAAAGCATATGACCTGTGCTATGCTTCCAATAAATTTTATGGTTTTTGACTTCTCTTAGAACAGAGGGAGTTTAAAGACTGAAGCTTTGTCTTGATTACTTGTGTCTCTTGCTTTCCCCAAATGACAACAGGAATGTGAGCTCAGACGGAGATGTTCACACTTGAGTTTAACCTTAGAGGTACTGTTTTTTTGGATTCCCAGACTTCAGGATAGGATCTAGTATGTCTTTCTGTTCTCCTGCAAGAATGACAATATATTTTTCCAAATGTAATCCCCTTTTTCGCATGCTGCAAAGCATTTGCAACTCTGAAATGCGTAAGTATGAACAATAAATATTTCTGTCTTTGGCAGCAGAATGTGCTAGGGACTGTGTAAGATTGCATCAGCTGAATTATTGTTTGGCTTCCGTTTACCTCTCTTGTTTTTACTTATAGGTTTAAATGATGTGGCTGAGCTAAATCAGTGAGCATTTACATGGGAATTTAATGGAGACATTTATTGGGAAGATTGTGTTTCCTGTATTGATTTGTTTCAGACAACCCTACCAAATAAGTTATATTTGCCTGGGAATGTACTTGACAACTTTCAAAGACAAAAGAACAAGTAAAATTCCATTCTAAATCTTTCACAGGATGTATTTATGTATCTTCTTATAGTGTCAGGGTTTTTTTTGGAAGACCTTATAGTTATCTGCTGATCATACCTGAAGAAAACACTAAAATCTGTTCCAAAAAAATCTTCAAAGTTCATAGAAAAACTTTATTGCTTTTTAATAAAAAGACACAGAGATTTAGTACATCTGGGATCAGTGCAGGCAATTAAAATATGATCTCAAGCCTCCAGCAGGTCATGAGCACAGTGTTGTCTTTTTCAGGAGCTGAGCATTGCAAGAGTACTGACCACAGTTCTTTTTCTGCAGCAGTGCAGAGGAGTAAGTACTGAAGTGACCAAAGAGCCATCATATGCAATAGGTGATTAAAAAAATTCCTGATAGCTTCCTCTTAGTTCCTTGGCTCTGCCACTTGGCAGCTGCTTGAGTGCAGTGTGACCTTGGAGGCAAGCCAAAGAAAAGGTGGCTTGTGCTACTGTATGCTGTTTTTACCTAGTGACTCCTAGCTTCTGTTTGGTTTCAAGCAAATGGGACATATTTAAAATAACTACAGATGTCATAAAAATGTGCATCCCAGCGTGGCACAAGGAGGTGGCAGTTCAGCCATGATGGTGCTTCTGCATGGAGGGGCCCCTCAAACATCTGTGTGCAGGTGACAGCAGGGAGAGGAAGAGCGTGCTAGAGGATCAGGGCAGGTACCTGTGCTGCAGAAGTGGAGGAAACCAGAAGTACTTGAAGGGAGTGTATAATCAGGAGGAGGAATGGCTGTTTACAAGGGTGGATATTGATAGAAAATGGGGGGAATGGTTTTAAACTGAGACAAGGGAGGTTTAGGTTAGATATCAGGAGGAAGTTTTTCACACAGAGGTGGTGATGCACTGGAACAGGTTGCCCAAGGAGGTTGTGGATGCCCCATCCCTGGAGGCATTCAAGGCCAGGCTGGATGTGGCTCTGGGCAGCCTGGTCTGGTGGTTGGCGACCCTGCACATAGCAGGGGGGTTGGAACTAGATGGTCATTGTGGTCCTTTTCAACTAAGGCCATTCTGTGATAAAGTGGCAGAAGTGGTCTTACTTAAAAATCTGAACAGAAATAGGTGGAGTTCTGCACCAGAAAACTGTGATGCTGCCTTTAGCTCTATCAGCATTTATGTCTCATCTTTACCTCAGTCACTTAAAAAGGTTTGTACATGACTGTGCAGCACCAGCCCCACACTGATTCAGACTACTGACAGCAGCTCCACAAGAAAGCAAAAGGGCAAGGCAAGGTGTTTCACGCAGCTGGCAGTGCTGAGCTTTCCTTGCACAGAAGTCCTTGCAAGAGTCTCACTATGCTGAGGGCAGAGCTGGGGGCTGCATCCCCTTGGTGCCCACAGACTAAATAACTGGTAAAAAGGACTTCATGGCAAACAAACGGTGTCCCCAAATTCCTTGTTTACTTACAGTAGTCTCCTTTATTCTCATTTTTAATCACATCACTGTTATGGTCTCTCTAAGCTTCTTCTCTGACATTGGTTACTGTAGATGTGCTCAGAACGCTGCCTGCATTTATCCCTATCAACTGCTGTTTTTTTATTTCTTCTCAGTGAGTCTTCCAATAATTAGGTGGTACTCCTGTGCATGCTTTCTCCCCACATCTCTCTCTCCTGCAGGAACACCGAGTCTGCATGGGTTGAGACTGCTGTCATTCTCAGTGGCATTCTCAGTGAAGTTCAGAACCAGACCTGTTTGCTCGGGACGGAGGCAAGCTTTGATAATATAGATAAACAGTAGGCACTGTTTTTTTTTTTTGAAAAAGGACAGCTGGCAGTCCAGCAGCTTTTATCTTCAGCAATTAGCATTGAGCTATCTGCTTCATTGGTTTTCTCCCTTTACATGTTTAAGTAGGGTTCTCTGTATACCGGCCCTTCTTTATCAGTGCCATACCACCTCACGTGGCCATTTCTGCTATTCTGCCTTGAGAACAGACAGCACCTCTATGTGGACTTCTTGAGGGCAGGAATTAATGTATTTACTTTGTCAATAATGTTTGCAGATTGTGGTGCCTATTGTATCTGGGTCACGTTTTCAATGGTAGCATGTAATATCAAAGGTTGGCCTTAGGGCTTTAAAGTTTTATTATAAAAAAAAACAAAAGGGCAACAATGCATACCTCAAATACTTCTTATTTTTTGCCTTTCCAAAGGCAAGGTTTCTGCACTGACATTTTCCTTTGAAAGCTGCCCATTACTTTGATCACATCATCAATGGAGAAGCTGTCAAATTGTGAATCCCAAGGTGCTCAAGCCCTATTTTTGTGTCTGTAGCAGTGTGACTCCATAGGTATGAGTACCCTGTGAAGTTTCTTTCTGAATCTATTGCAAAGTCAGACAGTTTCTGCACTGCTCCTTCTCTTCCTCTTCCCCAGCAGTGGACTGAAGCTCACACCAGCGGCATCTTGCAGCAGAGATGCTCCTGTGTTTTATCTGCTAACCCTACAAAATGCTGCACCATTAGAAAGATCTCACTCTAAAGTACCAAACTACACACAAGTAGTAAGCTGGATAACATCCATCAGCCCAATTTCAGTTTGGCCTAGACCCTTAGGGTGCCTGTTTGTTTTTGACAGTATCTTTACTGTAATAATTAAAGGAAATATTGAGATACGAGATAAGGAAAGTCACAAATTATTGCACTAAATATGAACTGGACGATGCCTAACAGATTCAGCTAAATCACATTTCTCATGGCTGCTTGTTGAGAATAACACAGAATCACAGCTTGAGTGTTTATTGATCAGTGTATATGGTACTTCTTGTTTCCAGGATTCTTTCTTTAGCAGTGCCCTGGCAGGTAAAAAAGTACTGTCACTTTTAAGCAGTGCCTGATCTTAAGACCATGCAAAGCTCAACGTCTGTTTCTGATATAGGTTAGTACTTCATTATTTTATTTGCAATTTGTCTAAAGTTTATGTGCCTTTAAAGTGTCAACTGTGTTTTGAAGGCTTTCTTACAGATGTTTCAAGTGAAATTTTGAGTGCTACAGATGGAAAGCAATTATTTTTCTGTGAATAAATACTGTTGTTACTTTCAAGCTTTTTTTTTTTTTTTTTTTTTTTTTTTTCAAGGTCTGTGCTGTTTATGCCCAATCCCGTTATTAGCGCTGTGTAAAGCAAATACAGCCTTGTCAGATGTGGTATCACGTTTCAGAACAAACCTTTGTGGTTAGAAGGGCAAACAGGGCTTAAAATGCTTGAGCCTTGGTTACACCAAGCTGTGCTGCAGGTAGAAATATTGCTCTGGGCTGATTAACAGCAAAACTGGACATGGTATTTGTGGGTAAGATCAAGACAAACATCCTCTTGAGACTGCTTCATGGCTTTCTGATCTTACCTTACTGGTTCTTTCAGGAGTATGCTAAAATGAATGACATTTAACTAAGAAGATTCTGTGTGATGAAAGACACAGGGTACTAGGAAGGGATAGGAAGGGATGGGTACTTACTGCAATGTTCCACTCCTTTTTTTTTTCTCCCCTGCTATGCCAGCAGCTTTAGGGTGGTTCAAAAAGCAGTTTCCTGCCACAAGTGGTGGGTATTTAATGTATTCATTTTGGTAGTGCCCTTTCAGGAGTTCACCAGCACAGAGGAAATGCTCATTGTTGAAGCGAGGTCAGGGCGGCACACCCTGGGCTGTAACTTATTCTCTGCAGTGGAACTGCAGTTTATCACTGACCCAGATCAGTGAGAAATTAGTTGCCACTTTCGCACCAGCTTTTTGCCATGGGTGAACAACAGGATGAGGGGACGTGGATGGAGTGTGAAAAGTTGCTTCCACACTGAGGGATGTAGAACACATCTCTTAGCCTGGCATTCCACAGCCAACTTTGGCTTTTCGGCTGAGTATAGCACCTATGGTACCTACCAGCCCATCCCACATACATCCAATCTCTCAGCTCCCCTCCTCTCATACCCCTGTGCCTTTTTCAGTGGCAGTCCTTCATGGTGCTGTCCCAGCTCTAACCCTGCTGTGTGCTGAGCAAGCCATGCCACCACCAGGGAGCTGGAGGAAATCAGTTCTTGTGGCCTGGTACATGAAGTTAGTGGATTGAACGTTCCTTCTAACAACCTTGCTTAATGAAGAGAGGATCCCTTTTTCTTTTTCTTTCTTTCTTTTTTTTTTTTTTTAAAGATATTTAATAAGATATTTTTTTTCAAATCAGTACAAAAATTTTAAATACAAAATTATTTGCTTTTGACATATCTCATATATTCTGGAAACATACCAAAGTCACCAATGGCTGGTAAGCTGTCCGTCTGTTCCTGCCAACGTTCCATAAAATTTCTGAGATAAAGCACCACATTATATCACTGGAGTCCTTAGTCAATGTCAGACTGCATTAAACTCTGTATTTAAATAACAGTAATGCCAGTTAAATCCAATTTTAGTTCTGCATGAAAAATCTAGTTCATTTTTGAATCAAAAGCAGTAGCG